CACTTAGGATTGATGAGGGGCGAAATTTTTCAATCCAACTTCGGATGGAAGAAGCTGGAATCTGCGTCTGCCTTCGCGTCTAGACGCGGACTTTGACGCTGATCCAACTTTTGAAATTCTTCCATTTCCCAAAGCTCTCCATGCCTTTGCTTCGCTGTTTTGTGCCTTGACATTTCTCCTTTTTCACGTCCGACCTCGTGCCACGCATGAGAATATATTTCAATATCTTTTGAGTCAAATAAGAGGTACTATATATATGTTGCTGAAGACAGATATGTCCATGAATCCACGTGAGTCGCTCCCTTTAATTCAAGTAAAGATTTAAGAACAATAGCTAATACTCTTTACAATTTCCAACGGTTGAAGTAATTTTAATTATGGAAAGCCTTTTTTTCTTTTTAATTCCCATATTAGAAGCAAAAATTTTACTATTAATAAAGAGTTCTTACGCTATCCGATCATTTTAGCTTGTTGGCCCGCATGTTACTTATCTTATCTTTATGTTACTAGTTTTTCTTATATAATCACTTGCAATTTTATTTTAAGTGATTTAGTAGTGTATATTTATTTTATCAGTGTAACGTGAAACTCAAAGAAAAATATCTACATTTGTTAGTTGTNCCCCCCCCCCCAAATAGAAGTGGAGAGAGAATTTAAACTTTATAATATTTAAATTTTAAGATTATGTAACGACATTAGGTGTTTAGTAATTAAATTAAGAATTTAAATTTGAACATATATCATGAATATTTTAATATAAATACAGAATTTTACCGAAATTACTGAATTCGACCTAACCCATAGACTACCTTCTAGCTCCTCCTTTACCCCAAGTTTTTACTTACTTTCACCCACCTCTCCTACCGAAACAGCACCCCTACACCCCTATCCAAAATAAAAAAGAAAAAAAAAAGAAAAAAAAATTCCTTCCTCCCCACACAAAATTGTGCATACAAACTCGATTTGCTCGCTGCATACTTGTGTGGTGACTGGTGGAGTGGTGAGGGGCAACAGTAAAAGTGAACTGCTATAGTAAAAACTAAAAAGCAAAGAAAACTGACTATGTAAAGGGAAGAATCTAACTAATCGTGCAAGAGATTGACAACCTTTATTATTTTTCAAAGTGTGCAACACTAAAAGTTGTTATTGTGCTACAAAAAAGGTCACAATTTCAGTCCTAAAAACATTCTCATGATAACTATAAAGTAAGACGACATAATAGACATGATCATACCCTTCCGTGAATCTCGACGGTTAAAAAAGTTTAGGGCACTAAATTACTTTTTATGTCATACTCCTTCAGTCCCAAATTAACAATCACATTAACTAATAAAAATTATGCGAGAATATTTATCACTTTGGTATTTTTAAAACTAAATTTGCTAGTAATTATATTTTATTATACCCTTAATATTAAAGAAGTAGTTCTTTTTAATATTGCTAAATTTTGGAAAAAAATATATTAAATAGGGGTAACTTCTAAAAATAATTGTCTCAACTTATATGTCATTTTAGATGTTCAAGACAAAAGTAATTATTTTTTTCCTATTTATCCTTAATAATAATTGTTCTTGAAGATGGAGATAACACACAAATAGAATAAATATTCAATGAAGAAGGATTATATCTTAAGACATAAATAAAGATAAAATAGTCCAAAACTCCTTCAAATTAATGTTTTGTTGCGATAGATAATTTAAAATGGAGGAAATATATGTTGTATTTATTATTTTTCTAATGGACATGAAAAAAGTTAAAGCGATAAATAGAATTTAATTTGGACCAAGTAGGGGAGGTTTATGAATTGGTACTAAACAATAGATCAACCTATCACCAAAATAATAGATCAACCGATCACCAATCAACATCGAAGCAGCTCAACTTCGTAGTTTGTACCCCCCTAACAATATTCATTAACCAAGATGTATTTTAAATTGTACATTTTTTTTAACTAAAAGGAATAAAGGTGTGATTCTTTTGACTCTTTTCTCCACCATCCTCCTCTCACATCTCTCTGATTTTAAAAAACAGAGCGAATAATATCAGCATCTTCGTAAGTATTATATTATGTTATATAATCATTAAATGTTAACACTGTTTAACCAATACATAATCATGTGACTATATAATAATATGAATAAACAAAAAGGGAAGGTTCTAGTGTTTAATTATACATATTAAAATCAATGATGACGTCCCAGATGATGAAAATGCACCTCATTATTAAATTCATCTATCACTCAACTTATAATATACTATAAAATTGGAAGTTGGATTATCATTGTTTCACATCTGGATCCATTAATTAAATCTTTAATGCTTAATTAGGGTTTAAGCACAGGCATCAAGATATTTTTTTCTCTTACTTAGTACTACGTACAATCTTCAGTGGAAGTACTATTATGGGAAAGATATAGTACAAGTAATTAATAGTCTATTTTAATACGTCCTTTGAAAACATTAGGGTTTAGGTTAAGTCCCTCTCAACATAATTGCCAAAGGACAACCACGACTGTGACCTTTCATTGCCATCCGTTTATACTCCTGTATCATTTTATACAACGTCTTTGATTGTGTACAATTTTTTTTTTTAAGTTTAAATACATCCCAAAAGAAGCTAAACTTGTGATCACAAATATACTATTTACATTTCAATAGTTATAAAAACATGTCATTAAGAATAATATAACCTGCTAGTCATAAGAAAGGTTCTTATACGTATTAGGAATTTTATTGCGACTTATACTTTCACACTTTAATTGAAGGTAATATATGTGCCAGTACTTAGCATAAAAAAATTTGGACTATTTCTCGATTAACTCATTGCCCTCCAGATATCTTGGATTTGAGCATCTATGGGTCACTTTTTATTTTGCTTTTCTTTTCCCAAGAATTCATTAGTACTGTACCAATATTGTAGGCTAAGAAAACAATATTTTCTTTTTATTTTGTTTCCAAGAGTTATTGTTTATTACTCCACAAATACAAGCTAATTTGTCTAATCGACTATGAATGAGTTTATACTTTCTAACAGAACATTGGATTTTCTTAAATGAGAAATGGACAAGAATCAGCGACTTTCCGTCATTACTCGATTAATATAACAAACTTTTAAACGAATACAGCTTTTGTCACAGGTCAAAAGAACAAAGACAAAAATAAACAAACAACAAGAAGAAATCTAGTAGAAAATCTTTCCTCAGTTAATTTGGACCAATAACAAAACTTTAATTTAAATATAAATTAAAAAAGAATACAAAAAATTAAGACTTTACTTTTCCAAAGAGTTGCCATTTCCCAAAACTTTTTTCCACCCTTTTTTTTCCATGGTTCCAAAAAATCAAGAACCCTGGTTAACATATACTACTACCAATTGTCTGTTTCTTTCGAGAGTATTAATAAAGAAGCTCAACTTTTTACTCTTTACAAAGCTTATAAAAGCAAATAGAGAAAATTAATGGTTAAGGGGGTCTCATAAAATTATGATGAAAGCCATTATTTTGAGACCAATTTTGAGGTCTTACTATCTGCTGGGGGAATCCTGATGATGCTGCAGCAGTTGCAAATATATGAGGAGGAATATTATTAGGGTACCATTCTTGAGAATTTGTGCCCCCAATTCGGCCTACATTACTGCTGCTTGGAGACGGAATCTGTATTGAGACATAGTATAATTCGGTAATCAAAGGTGCGCTCTCTAAAAATTTAAAATTTCAAATAAAATAGTCGCACAATTCAAAATGGTATTAGAGTATATAAGAGATCATGGGTTCAAATCTCAATGTGACTTGATAAGCAAAAAATATTTTCACTTGCTTTTTAGGTGACGGTGTCACACAAGTCTAACAATTTGTATTACTTTCTGGTATGTTTTGACATACTTGTTAAGAAATTCTGTATTATCATTATTCATAAGGGTTATTTAGTCGAGTATTAACTAAGTAACTCTCTATCTCTCCTCAAAATAAGTGATTTTTTGGATGTTTTTACACAGATTAAGAAATTCACATTTTAGCATTAATTAGCAATGAAATTGACCATATTAACCTTTACTATCTCACATAAACACTCCTGACACATATTCCAATACTATTTACTCCAAAGACAATGTAGGAAAAAAAATAATTAACTCATTCTTAAAATCTGGAAAAATCACTTATTTTGGACCACAAGAAAAAGACCAAAAAATCACTTATTTTGGACCGGACGGAATTTTTTTTTTTGGGAGATTTAATAAATTGTACTATAGATTATTTATTGGAGTACGAGTAAATTTCGTAAAAAGAAAAGTAAAACCTTCTTGATTCCCTAAACTGACACCTATTTTTGATTGAGTCAAACAACATTTGAGAATGACGACAGCAAGTATTGTACAATAATTTAGACAAGTTTTAAAAACATATGGGATACATATATACAAAATCTTGCATATATGTACAGCCACTGTTGTATAATGATAGAGAACTGGGAACTCACTTGATATGAGCTGAACTGTCGTGGAAACACTTGAACCATATGGGATTCACCATCTCTAATAAATTGGCCAATTCTTTGCATTTCATTAATATTAGGCTGCAAAGAGCCTGAAATATTTAGATGCGTTTGGCTCAAGAGCTGCAAGGTTTCAGTTTCATTATACCCATCTCTTCTTTGGCCATCAAAACCGATTGGACTAGGTAGCTGCATGAAATTAAATCTTGATATATAAGATTTTTTAAATACTACTACAAAAAGAGTCACATATGATAATACTCGATTTCAATATATACGCCAGTTCAAAAGAAAACCTCATAATCATTTGATAGGACGCAAACGAAGTTTGAAATATCAAAAATGAAGTAGTCGTCAACAGAAACGAAGTCAGAATTTAAATTTTATGGGTTCTAAATTCTAGGATAGCGACATAAGATGTTAGTAATTCGGTTCTGAATTTCATTTTGTACATAATGAAAGTTAATATCTTAATACATATAGAGTTTGGACAAAAATCACTTAGTTCGGTCAAACCCGTACTTCGGCTTCTAACTTTGCCTATGGCCATCAGAGGGAGATCAAGAATGTAACGTATGGGTTCCTGTAAAGCCAGAAATTTTTGCCCATACCACATATATATATTAAGAAATTTATCAAATATCTATTAAAATTTTCATTGAGAATCCAGTAATTATTGTTAAAGTTGTTATAGTCTTGTAAGAATCCATAAACTTCAAATGTTGAATCTGGTTCTTGCCGTCAGCGCGTATACCGTAAATAATGCAAGAAGTAAAGCTAGTAATATTATGTATGTACCTTAGACCTCGACTCTTGGTGCCGCCAATGGGCATCTAACTGCAAAGATGATGAATTTTGCCCCTTATTGTCCCCTATTTCTCGGCTGCTTTCCTTTGAGTTTGAACCTCCTAAGCTTAAGTCAAGATTGTGGTCGGCTGCATTATCGGCAGGTTCTGGAAAAAGTACATTTATCAATGCTTTGCGTAAGCTTTTACTTCAAAAATAATTAGTTTATATATACTGCCAGTGTAAATAATATGTTGCAATATTTAAGCAGAGACCGAGACCGAATGAAAAGCTAACAAATAAAAGAGTAATTTACCAGTTGAGTTAAGTTCATTTTCATAAATGCTACGATCAAAGTTAGTAACTGCATCCTTCCCATTACACTTGATAACAGCTTTATCATAAGCCCTATTAAAGAACAAAGTAAAGAGTGTAAACTTTAGCTCCCAACATTGAAAAATACTTAAAGGCCCTCACCCTCTAATAAGTTAGTAGTAGTAGTTTTATTTAGCGAAAAAAATACAACTAATTAATAGTAGAGAAAAAGAATAAATTAGGCACTGCAATTACACACCTGGCAGCTTCAACTTCAGTATCAAAGAGGCCCAAATAAACGTACCTGTTCGAAAATAATTCAATAATGAAAAGTCAATATAGCAAGCAAGGAATGGAATATTAATTGACAAAAGGGTGTCTTTGGTACGAGGAAAAAATATTTTTCAGAAAATGAGTAATTTTCTAGTAATCAAACACTAAAAATTAGTTTAACCAATTAAAAAGGAAAAAAAATGACTTTCTTCACTTGTATGTTTTCCTCTAGTAATCCATTGAAATAGTTTCTATATTTTAGAAAAATGTTCGATAGCAAAACAAAGTTTTCTTTGTTAAATATTTTCCTATTTTTCATTCGTACCAAATAAAATGAAATGAGGATAAGTTATTTTACTTTTTGCCTAAGAACTGTCCCATTCTAGCCTCCCATCTACCACATTTATGCAAAGTGACACCTCTATACTTGGAGCTTCCTCTAGGAAAACCAGTACTTTGTCTCCTCAGTACATGCACAAATTCTTCCTTGGTTAGATTGGTCATCTGTAACATACCCCAAAAAGATAAACAAATTGTTGAGAAAAAAAAGAATGTCAACAGTTACGTTTCCAATTTCATTGTGTCCACTAAATTTTGACACCAAAAATGTGAAGCAAACTACTGTTGATGATAAGGTAGGCAACTGTTTATGACAAGGCAAGTGTGAAATCTGAAGTACTCCAACCAGACAGACTCAAACATAGGCATGCTTTTTTAGTCTGCCGCACTCGATTAGAGGCCGATAGAGTTTAAGTTCTGGATACGCAATATAAATATATATGGAATAAATCACTTAACTTTTAAAAAATTTGTAACTTACTTATAATTTAAAATGTGCAATAATTAAGTTGAGAATAAAAATCTCAAGAATTAAATTCATCAAGTTTAAATTCTGAATTTGTGTCTGATCATGACCTACCTGTTTTAATTCTGCCTCATAATCCTCCAAGTTAAAGTTTATGTCTGCCTCCACTCCCCGGAACTTGATTGCTGCTCTATCATATGCACTGTAACACAACAATCCCAATCTTAATTCTCCAAAACATTTAATTTTTAATTTTTGGATGTATTTGGTACGACGGAAGTCAAATATTTCTCATACAAGACACGTTCAAACTAACTTCCGTCGTACCAAATATATCCTTTATCTCGAAGACAAAGAAAATTGCAAAATTTACAGCCAAGAACCAAGAGCTCACCGTGCTGCTGCATGTGCCGTATCAAATCCACCTACACAGATGATACCCGAGGAAAATAAACCCCCGTTCACCAATATCAGATTGATCTTCAAGAACATAAACAATAGCAAAAGAATCTTGATACATTTAAAAACTTCAATTTAATTAAAAAATTTGAAAAAAAAAAACTTACCTAGATAAACTTGTTTCCCACAATCCCTGCACCAAATTAGCAAAGAAATTAAGTCTGGATAAATAAAATTCAGCTGGGACATGAACAATAGGAGAAAATGTTAATGAACAATATTAGGAAAATTTTTAAATTATATACACTGACAATAGAAAAAATTATATTGTGAATTTAAGTAACCGATTTTAGTGAGTTATTTATTCCGTTCTCTAGGTCATCATATTAGACTCAACTTAATCGAACAGAGTAAAAATTCTCCATACTGTCCGGCATAAAGATACATTGTCAGAAAAGAAAAAAAAACTGATACTAACCATATGTGTGACTCCCACCGGCCAGTCCGCCGGTAAAAGGTAACACCACGGTACTGTGAACTCCTAGACCGTGGTCCACGGCGGCTCTTTTTAATTGGCTGTTGTTGCTGCTGAGTTACTGTAGGGTTTCCCACTATAGTGTTGCCACGTGGCTCCGATTGGCAAAATTTAACTCCAGCCCATTGAGCCCTCGGAAAATTTATGGACCCACCTCCCATTTCTGACTCATCAACCGGAAAAAACTGCCGAGTAACCGGCGGTTCACTCTCCGACGAGAAGTTGTCATCGTTAACTGAAAACCCAAATATTTTACTAGGTGTATTTCTCTTTTTCTTACCTTTTTCACCATCTTCTTCTTCCTCGGAATTATTACCTTCCTCAATAACCAAAGCTGATGAACTTGAATTTGAGACCGATCCGACCCGTTTACCTTTCTCATCAAGTTCAATGGGAGAAGAACAACCTTCTTCTGATTCATCTTCCATTCTTCGATTGGGAGAATCGTTTAGATTCCACATTTTTTCCTATAACACAAATAAGCTAAGAACGCAAAGTTACTGATCTCCTTATAAGGTCCGGAGGAGGAAGGAGAGTATAATTAATGGTTTAACTGAACACAATATTTTGATATAAGAATATGAAAATAAATGTGAAATCACTAAAAAATTGCCAAATATTAAACTATGCAACGGGTTCAATGGTAAGAATCTAAATGTCAGAATTAGATTCAGTGTAATGAAGGCGATATATAGACAAATCAAGAATGAATGGTTGCCGTGAAAGGGGTAGAAAAAGGGGTAGTTATAGCTCTTATTGCTATGGCTATGGTTTGTACAAAAACTAGTTTTTAGTTTCTGCCTAACCTATAAATATTCTTATGACCTGTTTTGCACGTTTGTCTAAATGGATGTGTATGGAAGAGTTGAATAGGAAATGGAGAAAAAAAAAGTGAAGATTTTTTGCTGAGAATTGAATGAACGTGAAAACGTACGACTTATAGAGATGTTAAGTTGTTGAGGAAAGGTTTTCAGAAGAGAGATGATAGATATGTCTCCTCTATTAACTAGTTGGAAGTTGTCCTAGTAGTATTAGTAGATTTTTTGTTTTGTTTTTGTGGGTGCTATTCACATTCATCTTTTAGCTGCTAATACAGTAGTAGACGAGGCTAGTTTGGGAAGAATAAGCCGGAAAAAAAAAACGTTAATAAAAGCACTCACCGGCCACCCCCTAGTTCTAGCTAGATGACTAGATCCCAATTCCTCAACCCAACTTTGCCCCGCCCCCTTCCCCTTGATGTTATGTGATCATGTTTAAGGAGAAGTTTTATTTTGTGTTTCATACAACTGACAATAGTTGTATGAGGCTCTTTTTTGTCTCATAAATTTGTGGACCCCAATCTTACACTTTTGGGTTCACAAAACTGTAAGACAAAAAAGTTGTCTCATACAACTATTGTAAGTTGTATAAGACACAAAATAAAATTTTCCCTGTTTAAGTAAGAAGATGGAGTAATTTTTTTTTGAATATTTTATATAGTATATTATAATATTCGTGTGGTTATAAAATTTAAAATTTAAATATGTTATAACATTAGTGTGACCGTAAAATCATATCATTAACGGTAAAATAAAAAATTTAAATTAAAATATTTTTAATTTAGAAAATGATCATTTCTTTTTTAACATACTAAGAAGGATATAGAATCACATTTATTGGTACAAACGCATTATCTTCTAATTTTCTAAAAGAAAAATACCCGTATCAAAAGTACCATGGAAAATGGAAAAATTTAAAGGTAAAAAATTTAACCATAAGAATGCATCATTTTTAGAGACAGGCTAAATAAACAATATCTCATACAATAAAATGGATGCTGGCAAGGGCGGCTGCGTAAAATTGGTGGCCTAAAGCCAAATTTTAATAAGAGCCCTATATTTTTTCTATTAGTACGTATCCACACATATATGCAAAAAAATTAATCTTGCCATTTTTTTCATACTTGTTGTTTATAGAATATCTTCTTAAATGACATAAAGTTTTTAACTTCACATAGTAATATTATTATTTATATTAAAAAGGAAAATTTAAATAAATGAGATATTAGACATGTATTTGCGATATGTTACCTTTGATGTTGTTGTAAAAAATATATTTACTAATATAAAGATTTAAGTAGTTTAATTCAAAGTTTAAAAAATATTTTTACTGTTTAAGAGTAGACACCTTTCTTTCTTTTTTACAACTTTTTTTGTTACTTTTTTATTTTTTTACAAACATTAATATTGTCTAATTTGAAATAAAATTATGAAATCCATTATTAACAATTTTGGGGGACCTAAATCAAAGCTTTACTAGTCTTCTACTAAAGCCACTTATCCGCCCCGTACATTCTCAATAAAATTTATAGGGTCTTACTTAAAATAAGGCAACTATGACAAGAGCATTAAAGGCAGCGAGTTTGTCATTCAGTTATCAAATGTGAATGAAGTTGGTTGAAAAGTACGTTTATAATGGGGCAGTAGTCTGTAAATAATTGTTGATTGTCAATGAGGGGCGGCTTAACAGAACTGATGACCTAAACCAAAATATATTAAAAAGACCCTGAAACGTCTTTTATAAAATTCATATAATATTGAGATACAAAAAAAAAACTTGATGACGTTGATATAGTGGTGAGAGCACAAATCATGATGTATGAGTTAGGCGCACGTCACATGGTATTGAATGCTTCCCTTAAGTGAAAATGGTAAAGGGTGAGCCCATTATTCATCATGTTTTGAACCTTGCAATATTTGCCTCAGGGATTTCTTAGTTAAAAAAGATGAGACACAAAAGAACTTGCTTTCTAGTGTGTGGATCAATCAAATGTGACAAAAAGAAATAGTTAATTTAGAGAATTGGAATTGAAATTAGAAAGTAAAATCGTAAGAAGCATAAAAAAGACTATACATAAAGAAAGAAAAATAAAATTGATGAGAAGGTAGATATATTACGTCTACCAAATGTTAAAAATTATTAAAATTTGAAATTTTTATTAATAATTATATAAATATAAATTATGAAGTATATATTATATAATAATATAATATCAGTTTTTATTTTTTGGGTCTTAATTATTTGGGGGCCTAAGGCAAGGGCTTCGCTTGCCTTACCCTAGAGCCGCCTTGGATGCTGGAATACCTAGAAACTCCTTTTTCCCCCTCTTGCTCAGTCATTCCTAGTACTATTTTTTTCTTGTTTCTTAACTCATGTTTCTATTCTCTACATTATGTACTGTATATAGTATTGTCTGTTTCGGGTGAAACTGAAATAATGGATTTTTTAACTCAAAATACGTTTATATAGTTAAAAAGAATTACATTTCTAACTAAAACGCAGTATTATACCGCGTTTTAGTTTAACGGAAAGTTAGCCGTTAAAATAAAACACAGTATAACTGTGTTTTACTAAAAAATTAATTTTTTTTATAGGAAAACGCAGTATAGTACTACGTTTTAGGAAAATGTAGTATTATACTGCGTTTTACTTCAATTTGGGCCCACCAATAATAAGTGTTCTGCAAGACTGACATAAATAATTATTTTTAGTATAAAACGTAGTATTATATTATGTTTTACTAAAACATACTGCGGTTTACACTAATTTTTGGGCCCACCAATAAGTGTTCTGCGGATAACTGACATAACAATAATTCAAATACATAAAACGTGGTATTATACTGTGCTTTACATAAAAAAGTTCTTCACCCCAAGCTAGGACTTGCGTTATTTAAAGGCGTTAGGATTTTATGAAAAATCNTTGTGAGGTATAGTTCACCTCCACAGTGTCATGTTAAATTGCCGCTTACAATGGAGTACGATAATTTGGTATTGTTGTTACGTAAAAAAATGAGTGTGAAGAAATGTTCGGTGAACCTTAAAGTAACCGATAGATTTCCATATTCTGTAACTCCGCTGGGGTTTGCTTATTATTCTGAATTTAACATCGAAGATGATGAAACTCTTAGAGATTTTTTGCGGATTCCGGATGAATACAGGGAATTTATTGTAATAAAATTGTTTGAAATGTACGTCAAGGTTGAAGACGTTCCCAATAATGAGGGTGTGCATAGTAGGGATAACCCCCAGTCATTGGGCGGTTATTCTGGAGCAGTTTTTGCCGGACAAATTCCTGATGAAAGAGCTTTCCTTGATTTAAACTTGTCACCACCGGTGAATGAGCAACCACACCCCCTTTTTCTCGCGAAATCGGATTTATGACATTTGGTATGGGACAACTCGTTCCTTTTGGGAATTGGGTTTTGCAATTTGAAGAGTCGCCACCTAATGATTTAGGGTGCATTAGGACACAAATAAGGTTTAATTCTAAATTCGTTTGAATAACCAGAGATAGGGTAAGGGCTTGAAATTATCCTAAGGGGAAGGTGTTAGGTACCCCTCAGGATCCACTAGTGTAGTTCCCGGCCAAACAGTTGATTGTAAATTTCTGCAATTAACAAGTAAACAAACAAGGCTCACACAAGAGGTGATTTTAAATACACAGGTGTTTAGAAATGATAAAATAAAACAAAGTTTTGAAAGAGTTATAACTAAGCATGTTCATGAATGTAAAGGGGTCCTAGGTTTGTATTTAATATGGATCAGATCAAAGCGATACCCGGTATGACACTTCTCAAAAGAGGGGATACACGTGGTATTAGCGCACCGGCAATCATATTCATATCTACACTTCCCACCCTGTTAAGGTATTTAAAGCACGGATTGGTCTCGATCACTATTGCATGTTATTACCCGTCCCATTTCTATCAGTCCCAGAGGAGCTTACGACTACTATTCCTAAAAGGGAGGGATATTAGGCTGATTTTGGTTTCAAAAGGAAAAAATCTAAGGTGACATAAAAAACACATAATACTGCATGTTGGGGAAGCATATAAACAGATAAAGGCTCATGTATTCCTCCTCAAACAAAAAAACACATAAATAGCATTACTTGCACATACTTTTTAGGTTTGATTAAAATACTAAAGATGAGGGGAGTTTAATTATTAAGGCGGATCAGTTTATTATATAACTCAGATAAGAAGTCCGAATCAGGCATGCCTGCTGGTTGTAGCAACTAACAAAAGCGGATTCAAATTTTATTGTTGTTATTACCTAACCCTTGCCTAAGTGTTTAGTTGAGCTCTTAGGAACATGGTATCTATTTATTGATTCAAAGTGTGGCAAAGCAGTAACAACTTAAAACGAATGGTCTGGGATCCGATAGGCATACTTGCTAAACCTCGTTAAATAAAGAAGGAAAGTTGTTTAAAACTGGTTCGGAATCGAACTGATTTGAAATTGAACCAGTTTCAGATTCTGTAGGCGATGGTATCTAATATTTGCTGTTTTTAATCCCTATAGGCATGATATCTAACATTGAATGTTAATGGAAACGAACATGATTTTCTTGGGAATCCCTATAGGCATGATATCTAACATTGAATGTTAACGTAAACGAACATGATTTTCTTGGGAATCCCTATAGGCATGATTTCTATATATTATATTGATTTCAACCTTATGAACATGATACTTACTTATAGCCGTTTAGAACCTAAAATATGATATCTAAGTGACCACAAATAGGAAGAATTATAAATAAGTCCTATAGGCAGGTTATCTAGATGTGAAATTGGTCGTGAAGAAATTAAATCAAACCCTATAGACATGGTGTCTGAAATGTAGAATTGAACACGCAGAATAAAAAGAAAAAGTCATATAGACATGCTTTCTACCCTTGAGCATACATGATTACCCAACCCTTTTCACTAGCCAGCCTCAAGTGTTTATTACAAATTATTACAAACCAGAAATAATGAATTACACTAGAAAAGTTCAAAGAAAAGTTACAACCAGAGGAAGCCTGATTCTTGACTTCCTCTCTGAGTTATGGAATAAACCACCTCAAATGCCATTGATTCAAAGCCTTTCTCAGACTTGAGTATGTCAAAGTTCCCTAAGGGTCTCAATAGGACCCCGGGCAGTGCTCACACCCAAGTTACATAACCAGAATAGAGATGAGTGCAGTGTGGAAGTGCTAGCCCTTATATGTCCAAGTTTAAAGGGAGCTCATGGGTCCCAAGGCAAGG